CTGTAGACAGCTTAGAAATCTACTAATTAGGAAGTAGTGTTGATTGTTTAATTTATAATCTTTTGTTAAACAAAAAAGAGCAACAGAAGGGAATTAAACCCTCAACAATCTTTTCCTTTTAATTAGAACCTTTTTATTATTTACCAAATAAACAGAAAAAATAGAAACATATTAGAATGGCAGGATATTATGCCCTGTCTATTACATTTTGCACACCTGAAAAAATATGTTAATACAAATAATTGTTGTCATGTTAACATCATTGGTTTCAAACTGTCTGAAACAATTTTATGTTCTCAATAAAGAATATTTAGCATTTGAACCAAAAACAGTACAGCACGAATAATTAAAGGCTTAAGTTAAATACATAGACAGTCATTTAAATTTAGATCTGCAATAACATTTACTATTATTCTCTAAGGCTTTGACTGTGCTTGACAGAAACAAAGTACTCTGGGATTAATTTCAAGAAATGGTGCCAACTGTGCGCAATTTGCTGTAATTAAGACATGAAAGAGTACTAAATATTCAGATTAAAAGAAGCATGATGGAGTATGATAGAGAATCAAGGTGTGGCATCAAGCCAGTAAAGCACAGTCACTCATGAATGCTCAATAGTGATTGATATGAAACTTATACCTATAAACTTGCAGCATGTACTTAATAACTGTGCAGATAAAAATTAAAATCATGGTACTGTGACTTAAGGTAAAGGGCTCTTCTAAATCCAAAGTCCAAAGTGTGTGTGACATCTTCATAAAATAAAAAAACAGAGCCTAATAATCCATTTTTACACAAACAAGATGCTTAAACAATGAACGGAGGGAAAAGAGTAGCATGACAGTTTTTTCCTTTGTGATATCCCTATGCTTTGGGATATCCCTGTGACCAGATTAACCTACAGCATTTGCCAGAGTGCCAAATGAAAGAGGTCTGTAGCAGTTGGCACCAAGAGGTTAAATACCCCCCTTCTCTCTTTTTTTTATTCATCAAACATTTTTCCTTCTGTTTTTCTTTTTTTAAGGAAAAGTATTCATTTAGATCAAACTGCATTTCCCATTTTTCTCTCCGAATTAGATAGAATATTTCTTCTTGCCTTTGAACTTATAAGTATTGATTAATGATGTATTTATTGTAATACTGAATCTTTTCTTCAACAGACTTTTTTAAATTAAAGTCCTTGTAACTTTTTGATCCTAGAGGAGATGTGGGTACTTGACCCAATTGCTAATGAGGTGCTGTAAAATCTCATGTATCCTATAGCTCAAAATAGCAGGATGCAGTATAAAAAGTACATCATAAAAGGCCCTATTGGAATGCTTTTTGTCTTCACAGGCAATACGCAAAAGAGATGACCTTCTGAGAAAGTCGGAAGCCGATTTCCTGCAGGCAAAGGAAGGTATCAAAGCAAAAGTGGCTGAGGTGGAGCACCTTGACAGTGTGGTCAAGAAACTGAAAGCCAGTATCCAGGACACACAGAAAGAAAAGAATCAGACAGAGACAGAAACCACCATACTGAGAACTGAGATTCAGCAGCTAAATCAGTAACTGCAGGGTGTGCATAAGCAGTGCAGAAAGACAGGTAATAATGTACAAAAATAGTAATATTACAGAAATGTGAATTTGGTACAGTCTAATGGAATAGAATTTTCAATCATATGGGCATATGACTGTTGCAATCAAATGAATATGAAAGGTTCCCTGTTCTGCTTTAGGGTAAATTTACAGCTACAGACTGTGACTTCATCAAAACAAAATAAACACGACTGAATTTTTTTTTTGTAATTCTATTTCTGTTCTATACTCTTTGCATTAATTTGGTGAAACATCTATTTCTGTTGCAGAACACCTGCTCATTCACTGACAATGCAAAATGTAATTTGAACTTCACAAGTCTGATATCATTGTTAATATTTTAAGTGACTTTTTAAACCAATATGATTAATCCCTGGTATAGATAACTTAACAGCTTTAGCAGCAGTGCAATAATGCATATGGATTTTTTTTTTCAAGAGAATAGTGTACACAAAAGCAACATAAGATGGAAAAACAGGGAATCATTTGATTATTGGGAATAAATTGCTTTAAAAAATTTTTGGTTGGTACTTTTGACTTTTACACTGAACATCTGTACTAGAACTAGTTTTCAAAATAAGCAAATGCAACAAGGAAATTGCATTATTAATATTTTGAAGTCACTGTATAGTAAAGCTTGAAATATACTACTTTTACCAAATAAAATATTAATGAAGTCATTTGGAACATAATAGACAGCCTGTGTCAACCCCTTAATTTTCTCTTCCACTATTCACAACATTGCCAGATACGTGTTTCTGGATAAAACCCCCTAGAGGTCTGCTGCAAATTCTTTTTCAATACAACCAGATCATTGCAGATAATTGTATTACACAGGGTATTGATCCAAAATCGTTGTGCACCGGAAACATCTGAAAAAACATGATTATAGCTTTCTGTTTATTGTTCGTACATCATATAAGCAGGCTTTTGTGTGAATCACCTGTAAGAAAGGCAAGGTGGAAACATCAGAGAAATTACCTCTTTACAAGAATCTATTGATCACTTTAAATCAAAGAAGTATGTTTGACATAAGATTACCTGCCAGTTTGAACATTAGGTACACTATGTTATAGCCTGGGGCAGTTGTAAGTCTGACAAAGGGATTGTAAATAAAGCATGCAGCTGCTAGTGCCTCTGGCTTGGGATCAACCAAGGCTCAAGTCCAAGGCATAGGTAAACTTAAAATAATTTAACCCTTTTTTACCAGGAGATTGTGAGTTAAAACAGACTATTAAAAGTAGCGACTAAATAACTTTTTGTATGTTTAAATAGTTATGCAATTGCAAAAGATACATTGTTGAATCTGTTTACAAATCAAAGCTGATATCAATTAAATAAATTTTGAAAGATAATTCCAGCTCCACACAACAGATCACAGCTCTAAGCTATTTCTAAGAACTTTTAAAGCATTGTTAAATGTCTGTCTCTGAATAATACAGACAATGCTATCGCAAATAAAATTGACAGGGACTTAATAAGTTCTCAAATTTAAATAAACTTCAATTGTTATACGAAGAATTGTCTTTTGGACAAAAAATATAAATAGATCAAAGCTGAAAGCTTTTAATGGAAAGGTACATATTACATGTGAAGCATTTATCCTTCTTTTGGTTTTAAACCTGAATCGAATACCAGGAGCCCACAGATAACTAACATTATTCAAAGAAGGAGTAATACTGGTTCCACTGAAATCATCTACCACACAAAAGTTATGTAAAGATGTATTGCAGAAATGGGTCAAAAATACACTGACAAATAGAATTTTGTTATATATTATATTTCTTACTGAATGATGGCAGCTTAGGCTTGACTTTACTAAATTGCTCATTTTCTGACTGTGAAGAAAAACCTGTTATAAGTTGTTTTTTTAGGCTGTGCATTTTTTTAAACATGTGTTGAAACTAATAACCGTTTAACTCATTAGTTCACATAGAGTTAGATTTGCATGACGCTCAGCAAAGATGAGCTGTGGGTGATATGCAGTTTGTTTAATATTTAGCTGTTAATGTTAGCTATGTACCTTCCTGAGGCACAAATTTAAACAATTTATATACAGTACTTTTTACTTATGGAAATGGTACTGCTGTGTTTTGTGAGAAATTGGGTTCTGTTACTGTCAATGAGAAAAGAACAAAGCCATTTTTTTATATAAAGAAATTGATCTGCTGGATATTCTGAATTCGTAAAGGAAGATATGACACCTGAATTTAGATCCTGTGCATATGGTGAATGTTGTCAGATATTGAAGACAATAAATGCAGAATCATGTTAACAGAGCACAAATGTTTTTCTTTAAAGGATTCTATCCTTCTAAGCCTGGAAAATACTGTTTTCTGACTTTATTGAATTCTGGTGTACTTATCACTCTTTAATACTACAGCACATTCAAACCAGGTTTTTTTATTTATGCTCATGCAAAATCCTCTGTTATGATACTTATTGAACTGCTATGACTAAAAGATTCTTAATATCTTCAATTTTCTGGCGTCCAATTTCAAAATCATTTGAATACTGCGAAATGAAGGGAATGCGTGCTATAAAATGCTTGTTGTGAAGCACTTGTTTTAATGATTAGTTTCATTCCAAGATATCCTAGACCTGATAACTACATGTGCCTATATGTCTGAAGCCATATATTTATGAAGGAGTATAAAAACAAATACATGTGTGTGGATTTGTGTCTGTGCAGGTACACATATATCTGCACATTCACACAAACTCATATGTTCACATACTAAGGGTTAAATATTTAAATTAAAGCCTATGTACATATATCTTTTAGGAAAATGGTCAACAAAGAACAAAGGAAAAATGTCTTTGTCTTAAATCACTTATTTTTTCTGAGAGCTGGCAGTGTACGGCTAAGGTTTCTTTTGGTCTAAGGAAAGATTGCCATCTATTGGATGACCTTGGAAAAGAACAGGTTTTTACTATGTATGTGCTCTGTAATTCATGAAAAAATATAATGAAATTGAAGACTTGGAGCTTAGATTGTATACGTTACTATTGTGAAATAGTAAAAAAGCTTTTATATTTTAAAAACTGTGATTTTGAATTCTAGTTTGACTTATGTTAAAAAATGCAAAGACAATAGGTGTTTGCTTCAGAATGAACTAAACACTGGATGTGTGTGTGTATACAGTAAGCTCTGGTAGCAGTTTAAATGTTTGCAGACTACTGAATCCAAGAATTTTGTTATTTAAGTTTACTGGAATACAATGAAAGAGACTTAGGCCACCTATTAATATATTTATAATATATTTTCCTCTCAAGATTTGGGAACTAAATGATGCTCTTCTCCTGAAAACAATATTTGCCCAGCTCTTATAGTGAGTTGCAGTGGATTGCATTTAAAACAAAAATATCACTCGGCTTGAGCTTAAAATGTAATGCTTTTTTTTTTTTTTTTTTTAACTTTCAGCCCAAGAACTTGCCAGTCAAGATGAAAAACAACTTCTAATGGAATCCAGCTTGAAAGCAACTCAAGAGCAGCTAAGTGAGCAAATAGCAGAAACAGTTTGCCAAGAACAGAACAGTAGAAAACCAGAGTCGAAGAGCTGGAGACCCTGAGAAAGCGTACTATGACTTCTGAAGAAGAAATTAGTGATTACAAGTGAGTTACTGCTCTTTTGGTATTTGAGAAACAGAAGACATTAAAGTCAGCAGTAAATCCTTTTAATATGTACTGTATTAATCATTTCTCTCAGGTAAGAAATAGTGTAAATGTGTTCTGTAACTCTATTGAATAAACTATTAAATATAGATGACTGATTAATGTATGCTTTAAAATACATTCTGCATTTAAAAAGATTGAATGTTGAAAAATACTATTGTTAGGTGTCTGGTTTATTTTTAAAATTAATATTCTGTAGTGTTGAAGTAGAATAGTGTGTATAATTATTTATTACCTATCTGTTAATGATATTCTCATCTTCCTCTTTTTAGAGACCAAAGGTTACATATGGGTCTTATCTTCATTCTTTTTTGTTAGAGAAGCTGCCTCTAAGCAACAGACTGCCAAATTAAAGGAAATTTGGTGTTTGAACTTTTAGTCACAACAGCAAGGCATATATGAAGTTGCTAACATAAACAAACGAAAAAAGCAGACTCTAGAAAAGTTTACTTCTGCTCTAATCAGAGTAGAAATACTTCGGCTCTAATCAGCCAAATTTAGTATCTATTAGACTGAATGTTAACTCATGGGATTTAATTAAAAAGTAACAATGTGCAACAATTACATTTTGTAATTTAGCTTAACATTAACTGTATTTTTATGTTGAGCCACAAAGTGATTCATTACTTAGAGTTTTCAAGATTTAGAGTATGGTAAAAATTACTCACTTCAACTGATTTTTTTTCATGCAAACAGTCACTTTCTTCTTGTTAAAGTTACGTTAGATTAGGTAATCCCTATATATACAGACAGAATCTCAAGCTGTTTTGTAATATCACAGAACATGATGAACACTTTATACAAGATAGTTTGGCTGCAAAAAAATGTCTATTCATTTGGTGGTGGACTGAACATATAGAGCTAAATGTTTTTTCTCAGATTTGTGGCAAGCATCAAATATCTCAACAAATCTCTGAGAGAAGGTTTGCTAAGTTCAAATGCAACAAACATCATGCATCTAAAATAAACTATGATAATGTATGCTCAGTATAAATGACTTTAGACTGAAACTTCATCTGTTCTGTAGTTCAAATGTTTTAAATTACTTTTTCTGCTGAAGACTGAGAAAAGCTTCATGGAAAGAAACATTGCCTTCAGTAAAGTGTCTTCATTTCTTTAAATAAAATAGCTTGCTGGGTTTTAACCTGTAGTTATACCTCTAAAGATGTAACTAGTACTTCTCTAGGGAAAACACTGTCACTGATTTACTTTCCTAACATAACTTGAATCTTTTGCCACAGTGGGTTTTCTTTACCATTTCAAGTGATTCCTCAGTTGCCAAAATGCCATGTTATGCCAATTCTTGTAGATACTTCTTTGAAAATAGAAAGGTCACAAACTTCTAGGATTACTGATTGTGGTAACTTAGTGTGAGATGGAGGGGGAGGGGGGGAATGGAATTGAAACTCCCAGCTGTAACTGATCGATTGTATCATGAAATATAGCTTTTGAGAGAGCAGGAATTTTGCAAAAGTTCAGTGAAATGAGTTTCACTAATGTTGAAATAGAAAGCCAAATGATAATCATTAGAAGATTTTCAGAGGGACTTTTTAATAGTTTTTTTTTATTGTACTTTGTATGAACAAATAAAACTTGAATGAATCTCTTAACATGCAAAAATTATTAACTAATCTAAGTTTTTCTGTTCTGCTTTCTACACTTGTTCAGTGACTTTGGAAGTTTGTTACTTCAGTACATGAACATAATAAACTCTAGTAAGAGTAATCTTTTCTTAGCTCTACAGATTATAAAACTATTTTTTATTTAATCTTATGTAAAATTTTGACCTTAACTTTGTGATACTATTGCTTTTTAAAAGCATTCTGACTCATTGCTGCAGGATCACCATCAACAAAGTATTTTTTGAATCTGGAAAATTAAAACTGCTAGTTTAGAACAATAGGTTTAGTAAAATGGAACTAATAAAGCTAAAAAAAATGGACAACGCAGTTGGAGGCTTTAAATATTGAAATTTCCCTTTAAAACAACATCTCACTGTCTACCTGAAAACAATAATGCAGTTCCAGTCAGTATCTGCTCTCTTCTGTTCCTTGGGAGACAGAAAGAACAATGGATCTCTGTCCCCTGGGTCTTTTGGGACAGGGAATGTCACAAGGGTTATGTTCAGTCACTATGAAGGGTAGCTCATGTGTCATAAAGTAGCATCCCTTTGGTGCTGACTTATTCAAAGTCATACAGTCCTGGACTTTACTTACCTTCCTACTCAGAGAATCTGGCAAATGCAGGTGGTATCAAGGCAAGAGCATAGGACTATACAAAGAAAAATGCAGCATGAATTGGTCAGTTAAAACTACGCTGAGACCTGAGATTCTGCTATAGCTGTTGTAAAGCCTCTGAGGGGAAAGGTCCATTTCTCTATGCTTTTTTTTCCTTGTTGTGAAATCCTTGTTAAAAGTTATTTTTTCATGGAAGTGGTGAAAAAAGGAAAATGGTTGACAAGGATTTAAAAACAATACAAAGACCATTACATTTAATAGAATAAAAATATTTAGTTTTAAAACAGAGTAAAAATATTTTCTGCTAATTTCACAGGGTGTCCAAAATACATTTACTTCATAGGGAATATAACTGAAAGTTTTTAGAAGTCACAAGCTTTGTTTGTTGTGGACTTATCCCATACAAGATAAACCTAAGGTAACACACCCCCAGCCCCCACCCACCCGCCCTCCCCCATATAAGCCTGTTACACCTGAAAGATTTGTTCAGAATGTCCAGTGGGAACCTGGAAATCGTAATAATTTGTAGTATCGATTGTGTGAAGCTATGCAGCTGGGGCCTCTAGTGAATAGACAGGAATAGACATTTTATTGATTAACTTTTACAGTCATATTTTCAGGACTGTGCTGCAACATAATTTTCACTTCCCAGCTTTGTGCTGCTGCATCATGAAACTTGGATTCTTCTCTCTTAACATTTACCCACCTGAGAGAAACAGTACAGACTTGTCTTTTTTGAGCTGTGTTCTGCAGAAATGCATAATATTTGGTGCAGTGAATTCTTTTACATTTCCCCTCTGCTGTCACAATAAAATGAAAAATCTTCACAAGTTATGTTAGCAAGTATTGAATAAGATGAACATTCCCCCACAACCCCCCACCAAGAGCTATTGTGTAATACCTTCTAGTAATTCTATTCCTCCTTTGCATTTTCATTTTTATTTTCTAAGCGGATAAGATTGTGGCAAAAGCAACCCCTCTCCTCACATCCACAAATTCCAGAAGTGCTTAAAGTAAAACCAGGACAGACCCTAATGAAATAGATGCTGTTATTAGTTAGTGGAAATTTAAAAATTTAAAAGGGGAAGGCAAAAATGTTCCCTTGAAAATCTGAAGGGAATTATCAATAAAAACTTATTTATTTTCAGGATTGACATCCTGCATTAACTAAAATTGCTTATAAGATTACTGAGAGGGCAGGATTTCAATACAGTTACTAATAATTTTTAAAAATACGTATATATGTACTGAAGTCTTAAATAAAGAAAAATCTTAAAAAAACTATTTTGCATTTCTGGAACTATTATTTTCCAGAAAATAATAAAAATGACATTGTACCATTTTGTAAAGGACTTTTGCATATTTACTGCTTTTTTTAGTACGGGTTACTTTTTACATTAGATACCTAAGCAATTTCTCTTTTATGGACTTGCAGAATTACCAGTGAAAATCCTGATCCTTTTTTATTAATTTAGTGACTGTTTATTACTAGTTTTTTTATGTGCTTACTTTCACTTAGACCATGTTTTTACCATACGTTTAATAATGACTTATAGGCTAACATGATTTAAACCTCTGTCATCACACTATTTTTTCTATGTTATGTTGCTATTAACATCTTCTAATTATATCAGTGTTTAAGATATTCGTGGTCATGTTCCCTTTTGTCCTTCCCCTCTCATCAGAGACATGATGGTGTGCACCATATGGAGCTACAACTAAGGCAGAAATTCTCCCATCCATCACAAAAGGTTGATTTTGTTTACCGTCGTCAAACTTATTATTGAATAATTCCTATTTTGTTTAAAATATCAAGAAAAGGGTGGAGGACTTTAAGGTAAGAATAACAGTATCAAAGAAAGAGGATAAATAGCAGCTTTCTCAAGGCTTCAGTGTCTACTGGACCTGGAATAAGCTGAAGTAGTCTCAATCAGGTGAAGAACTAGAAAATTGGAAGTGGGTTTCTTCTTAGGCATGGAAAATTAGTGTTTTATATAGGAAGCTGAATAAAGTAGTGTCAGATTTTAATGGCATCCTAGGCTTCAAACATATACAAATGCCAGCAGTTTTGTAAAACCACTTACCCTATAAACACATTAAATGCTGTTCACAAATTTGCAAGATTGAAGATGAAAACTCTTTTATGTGTTGTTCATGATTTTATTTTGTAGTTGTGACGCTTTATTATAAAAGTGGTGAATTATAATGTAAGGATTACAGGAAATCACTGAAGTGTCTGATTGTATTTTAATTTAGATTAATTTGATTGAAATCCAAATCAGTGTGTGTGTGTGTGTGTGTGTGACAGTTAAAGAAAGGAGAAATTTCCTCTTCTGAACATTTGTGGAGATGTTAAATGAGATCAAAGTACTATTTCAGTAAGTTTTATATGTTGTAGGTAGACAATCCACTAAGTGCTCGGGACTCCATGCATAGTATGTTAACTGAATTGTTAGATTTTCTATTTAATTTCTTTCTCCTTTTCTGTTTTGACATATCCATGCTAAGTCTTTTTGCAGTTGTGGTAACCTTTTCATTATGAATTAGGCAAGGTAAACTTTAAAATTTGTAAGAAGTTAAAAAACTTGAAATGTTTTAAATGTTAATCTATATTAAATTAATTAGATGCAAAATACAATAAAATGTTTCTCAGACAGAGTGATTTTTCACACTGCACAAATTCAGGACTAGTAATAGTTCTCAAATTTGATCAGAGAATTTTAAGGTTTATTGTGACAGTTGAGAGCTGGTTAACTGCATCAACTGTTTCTCTAAGAGAAATTGCAAATCTGAAATATTTTAATAAACTCATGCCATTTGGTTTGATTTTAATTTCTAACTATTACTGGAAAAATGAAGACAAGAAGTAAATGAAAATTTCTGTTTATTGACTTTCACAGTACCTATGTCACAACTACTAAAAAAAATAAATTAAATAATAATTACCTAGGAGATGACTGTTCAGGCATAGGATATGATCCTATATATTTGTGTCTTCCCAGACTCTATGGTTATGACTAGGAAAAGCTGAATTGATTGCAACGGAAATCTACCTGACAGTAAGTATTTGCAGTGGCAGGCAAAATTATTTAAGAAAAGAGAACATAAAATTAAGAAAGACAGATGGACTCATAAGAGTGAAATACAAATAGTCTGAATCAGGATTGATTTCAACATAATGTGGTGGAGGAATCCCCATTTATTGATCTACTTTAAAGCCCATGCACAGCACTTAAAAAGATAAAGTAAGCAAGGTCAGATAATCAAAGCATTTAAATAGTAAAAACAGCAACTGCCACTGTAGACTGCTAAAATAAATCCATAATACAAATTGCTTTAGCAAAAAGTGGATGAGCAGCTGATCTTCCTATTGAACTTTTATACTGTTCAGTGACCACACTGGGGAAAGGATTGGAAGAAATGCCTTGAAGATCAATATTGAGTGAGATGTAGCAGGATTCATTCTGAACATGAAAGAATTACAAGTATGAGAGCAGAGAACTTGAGGAAATGTCATCAAGAAAGGATTGTTCTTGTAAAATACCACACATATTATATGAACATAGTATTAGTTGATGTTCTATTAGGATCTCTGAAGATTCAAAGCTTATTAAATCTGAAATTTAGTTACTGCAAAACATGAAAATAGGACAAAGAGAATAATGATTTTAGTGAAATTACTTCTAAGAATTTAGTAACTTGCATCTTCAAAACAAGAAAGCTTTTAAACATATTCATTAATATAGTATTCAGAGGAGGCTGCTTCTTTCCAGCCATATACATTTCAATTTTTTTCTGAATAGAAATGATAAACCAGAAACTGGGGTTTTTTTGATCCCCTTTTTTTTTTCTGAGGCCAATATGCACCTGTAACTAACATGCTTAATGTAAGTGCTCTTTCTTCAAATCTATTCTAAATAGAATTTTCATAGACATTTTAAATATTTTGTAGAAACTAGAATACTCTAATGCAAGTACTTCAAATTTCAATTCCTACCAATTCTGTATAAGCTTTTTTTTAATATAGGTGTTAAAAATGTGTCATTGCTTTCATTTATAGGCTATTTTTTCCAGTGTTCTTCAAAGAGTATTTATGAGAAAGAAAAACTGTAATACTACTACAGTAGCTCATTGTTTAAAATACGTTGTTTTCATTCACAGTTTTATTTTATCATTGCATGAGAAATACTGCATTTTCATAGACATATCGCCCCTTTTAAATGCAGAATCGTGCCTTTTTTTATTTTTGACTGTAATATTCCTTTACTTTCAGGTTCACTGCCCTACGTATAAAAATAGTGTTATTGTTAGAAAGTAGTAATTCAAGGTTTTAAACAATAAAAATCACTAAAAACTAGAGTGTTTCAAGGATATAGAAAATACTTTAAAAAACAAGTAAAGAGAGCTTTTGTGTTCTTTGAAGACCTTGTTTGACAAGGAACTGATTCCCAAAATCATAAAGTTTGTTCACTATGGTTACTGTACAATGCATCTTCTTATAATGTATAATTATTTACAACTAGTCTTGGCTCCATTTTTGCTGTGTGAATTGCTGATTACATCAGTATCAATGGTAAAATTATGAAATCATATTCATAGTTGTCAAAGAAAGGTCATCTTATTTGCATTTATTAGGAACTTGGGGTGCCATACAACATGGTTTTCTTCTGGGATGTTTACAGTTATTGATTTGTATACAGCTTTAAGAAAAATTAATTAGAATTATATTTTACTTACTACTGCAAGCTGTATAATAATAACAATAAAGTTCTACTTAAAAAAAATTGAGCCAGAAAATTAAATAATTTGCATTTTTAAAAGTTAAAATTTTTAGATTTAACTTATTTAAAATAATCTCCTTTGAATAGCCTGAGGAAAACTCTTAGTGAACTTCTGTTAATGCTCACAGTACATTTGTTTGCACAAAAATGCATAGGCACTTCCATTAATGTGACATAAAGTATTCAAAACTTTTTTATTTAGGAGTGGTCTTTAAAGATGCTTAAAAACCAAGAACAGATTTAATCATATGCTTAACGTCCCTTGTATAGTGAACTTTTCTTATATAACCGTATAGTTACTAACTACAAAATTTAATTTAAGCATATGAATAATCCTGTCCTAATATATTAGCTTGCATTTGTACTCTAGTTATTAAAGATCTTTCAAGATCAAGAGCTATATAAAATTGTATGGAAATGTTATAACCATCGTTGCCTGTTAGCTCTTTAGGTCTGAAAAATGTGGGTAGTGTCTTTAAAAAAGTGTTCATGGGAAAAATACCAACAATGTGGGACCAGGAAAAGCACATGGTCAGACTGTGATAAAACCTTGTTGAAATGGAGAAAGAGGTGGAGAACTTCAGATGTACAGATAGCATTGATGCTCAGGTGGTATGCGTTTGAAATCCGGTTTGTATTACAGTGATAAATACTGTACATGGTTAGCGCATATTTCTGTGAACTTTTAACACTTCAAATTGATTAGAACGTCTTATTTTGATTATATCCATATTGTTCATTAAGATAAGACTGAGTCCTTAAAAAATGTTCGGCTTATTTCCATTACATTCAAGAATGTTTAAAGTAGAAAATATAGAATACAGTTTTCCATATTGTGCATATATAACATATGTTTGAGATTAATCAAATTATAGTCACCTCTAATTAACAGCAGGGAACAATTCCAACATGGGACAGAGCCAGATGACAAAGAAATGAAGCATATATTTAAAAGATGCAGCTTATTAAGAAAAGAAAACTAGGTTATGACTGCCTTAAGAATACTGAAAAGTTTTTAAACCTCTAGTTCTGTGTACGTGATTAATAAATTTTATTTTGCTTTGTTTTTTAGCTGGGCCAAAAATTTTCAGAGCCCTACAGCTCTGTGAGTAAATAAGAAATTTTCTTTCAAAGTCAATTCTTTTCATTCTCTGTGATTACTAAATCAAAAATAAAAAAGACTTCTGCAGTTTCAAATCAGCAGCTTTTGTCACAAATTCTAAAAATGTTTCATTTGTATGCCAAAATTTTGCCTTTCACTAAGGCCCTTGCTTATCACCACAGAAAAGGCAATGATCAAGGAATTGATCAAGGACATACATTAAAGTAAGTAAATCGAGTTTTTTCTCTTGTTTGTTTTTTTTTTTTTTTGAGTAGGAAGTTGTATAGATGAAGAAAACACTAGGAAAAAAAATAAAGCGGTTATGCGATGAAAACAACTTGAAAACTAGATATTTTCCTGGCCTCTCCCTCAGAAATAAAGAAGATCTAAACCTCTAAACTTTTCTGAATATCCAATCTGAGATTCTGCTCTCTAATATATGACAGATTGGACTTGCCGAAGAACAACTGCAGCCAATGATAATTTGCTTTGAATAAGTTAAAGGTCTTTACAAAGAAGAATCAACAAAAGACATGAGAAAACAATGTTCAGTTGTGTCCTGTGTCTAACTGGGGATTTGAACCAAGGTCATTCCCATTGCAGCAGAGGACAATAGTGCCTGAGCGGGTACGAGTTTTTTTGTCTCTCATTGATTCAATAAGTGCTAAAAATGCCCAAAAAAGGGGAAGATGTTTCAAGAAAGACACAGAGCAATCCCTCTCAGATCAACATGGAATGATGTTGGTTCAAACTGCTTCAAAATAAAAGAAAAATTAATCTGTATTTTCATATATCCCAGGCGAGCTTTTTGATTGAAACCAAGTTTACATTTTATTTTTGCTTCATGTGAACTTCCTTATCTTCTTTTACCTCACATCCCCAAATCTGTTTGCTTCAACTGTCTATGTACAAAATGATAATAGAGCTATATTCTCACATCACGGGATGCCGATATTTATGGAACACTCAGACACCATTGTGCTGAAAATCAGCAGCTGTATTTGTATTGTCTTTTTAGTTGTGTCCTCATGTGAGTCATGTTTCTCAGTTCAAGTTGTGTAAGCTGGTGCACACGG